TGAGCCATCTTCCCAGCCCACAAAACTATTTTTAATAAAGAATTCTATTAAGGCCAGGTACTGGTGGCTCACCCTGTAATCCTAGCTACTCAGGAGGCTGAGATCTGAGGCTCACAGTTTGAAGCCTGCCTGGGCATCCAAGTCCTCATGAGAATCCTATCTCTAATAAACTACTCAAAAAAGCTGGAAGTGGCACTGTGGCTCAAGTGGTAGAGCACTAGTTTTGAGCACAAAGAGGCTCAGGGACAGTGTTCAGGCTCTGAGCTCAAGCCATAGAACTGACAAAACAAAAACAAAAAAAAAAACCGACAAAAAACAACTTCTGTTGAAATAATTAACAATGTGGGCAATTTAACAGGATTGTTTACCAACAATGAACAAGATTGCTTATGTTTATCTTTTTTTAAATGATGAAAAATGGGAAAAAAATCCAAATATCCTGAAATGAGTGAATTCTTAGGTAAATTTTATACAGTCCAAGATAGATTCTAATATAGCCATTAGATTTAAAATGTACAAACTAAGCACCATTTCCAGAAGAGTTCCTGTGATGTTTTTCCTGGGGAGAGCTCAGTAACATGAAATAATTGCATAGCCAGGCACTGGTGGTTCATGCCTGTAATCCTAACTACTCAGGAGGCTGAGATTTGAGGATCACAATTCAAAGCCATTCCAGACAGGAAAGTCCATGAGACTCTTATTTCCAATTAACCACCAGAAAACTGGAGGTGGCGCTGTGGCTCAAGTGGTACAGAACTTGCCTTGAGGGAAAGCACCCAGGCCGAGTTCAAGCCCTACAACAGACAAAATAAAATACAATAATTGCATATATTTTGGCTGAGATGGAGCATATAATAGAGTTTTGGATTTTGATAAAAATATTTATGTGTGTGTATACACACACACACACACACACACACACACACACATAATGTTTTTTTTCTTTTGCTAGCACTGAGGATTGATCTCAGAGTCATACTTTTTCTCAGCTTTTTCACTCCAGCTGGTATTCTACCACTTAAGCCATGCATCCACTTCTGATTTTTGCTGGTTTAACTGGAGTTAAGTGTCTGCCTAGGCTGGCTCCAAATCTTGGTCTCAGCCCCCTGAGTATATTTAGTGCTCAGCTAAAACTGGTTTAGCAGAATTAAAGTGACTGAACCTTAAAAGAAAGTCTACCTAGCTGTTCCTTATAATTTTACTATGATACTTTACAAAATATGATAGCTGTTACTATAGATTGTCTATCTTCTTCTCCAGGTTTTTTCTCTACTAACAAAACCTCATCTCACAGGCCACAGAAATCCCAAAGGCCAGAGAATAAACTTGCCTTCCTTTCCTATCTAACAATTCCTGGTCTCAGGGCACCTCAAGGGCAAGTCTGCTGGGGTTGCTGAAGGCTAACCAACCTGGCTAAGAGCCAAATGAGGGGAGATCTCTTTCATTGACACTCACTGCTTGGCAGCTTTATCTTCTACTATGGTTTGTATGTGGTTTGTCCTCCAAGGTTTCATGTACTGGAAGCTTGATCCTCAATATGGAGATATTGAAACATGGCAGAATCTTTAGTGTATAGAGGTCACTGGGAGTCATCACCCCCCTTGGAAGGGATTAATGCCAGTCTTATGGAGTTAGTTCTAAGAGTAGGTGGTTATAAAAGAGCAAGCCTCGCCCCTGATGATCCTCCTTGATATGGGACCACTCTTTCTCACATGCCTCCCATCACGTTGTGATATAGCCAGGGGCCCTCAGAAGCAGTACATGAAGGGGCCATGCTCTTGAACCTCCAGAACTGTGAGCTAAATAAACCTTTCTTTGTAAAATACCAGGCTTCAGACATTATGTTACACAGAAAAGTATACTAATAAAGTTATAGACAATGAGCCAGGCACTAGTGGCTCACGCCTGTAATCCTAGATACTCAGGAGGCTGAGATCTGAGGATCACGGTTCAAAGCCAGCCTGGGCAAGAACGTCCATAAAGCTCTTATCTCCAATAAACCACTAGAAAACCAGAAGTGGCACTGTGGCTCAAGCAGTAGAGCGATCACTTTGAGCTGAAGAGCTGAGGGACAGCGCCCAGGCCGAATTCAAGCCCCATGTCCGACCAAAAAAAAAAACCAAAAAAACGTTATAATGTCATTTGAACAAATGATGGTGAGAATTGTGGCAGCCATTCTGGAACACTTAAGATAGAAGAAATGGATCCAAGAAAATCTTGGCACATTTTTGGCTGTCACTCAATTCTGGGACCATCCACCTCCAGATTTGTTATGTGATAAACATCCTTACTGCTAGAGTCACCATCAGTTTGGTTTTCTGTTACTTGTGCCAATCACAAGTGGCTGACTGTGCCACATCTGACACCCAACCAATGCTCCTGTCCCTTCCAATTTAAAAGCAATTCAACAAAGAAAAGCTACTATAATCTTATTCTTATGGAAAGTAAAATAAGTATCATTGAGCTTAGGAAGGATAAGTGATTTTTTTTTTCCTCTCGTAAAGAACAAGACTTTCGTCCTCTTTCTAACAAAATATATATACACAGATGCAGGTAGAATTAAATTTGCATCCATTTTCACCCATATATGAATTGCCTTTAGGCTTCTCTCCCTGCTATTTGCACATATTTGTTGGTAGAAATGTATGCTTCACAGGCTCAGCCAGGAATGTAGACTTGCCTCTTTTTTCCACTTCTACTGATGAAATCTAACTTGTGCAATAAAGATCTAAAGACAGGTGGCAAGGACTGAAAAACAATCATAAGCTGTATTCCCCAAGACAGCTGAGATGGTGAAATGAACATAAAGGTGGTACATTTGCTTCTTCAAGCTTTCTTAGAAGAATGAAAGGACTGCTGGGTGTGGTGGTACCAACCTGTAATCCCAGCACTTATTAACCGAGCAGGACTGAGCGGTCACCTGTGCTACACATAAACCCTGTCACAAAAAAACAACAGCCAAGCATAACTTCAAAACCTCATCTCAATAAAAGCTGGGTCTGTGGTGTGCAGCTGTCATCTCAACTATGCATGAATAATAAACAGGAGGCTCACAATTAAGGCCAGCTTGGAGAAAAAAAGCAACCTTGTTCTATAAATACTCAAAGCAAAGGGGCTGGAAATGTAGCTCAAATGATGAGTGCCTGCCGATCAAATGCAAGGCCTTGAGTTCAAACCCCAGCAACACTAAAGATACACAAACAAAAACCAAAGAACTAATGATTGCAAAATACTAAACATCTAAAGACAAGAGCCATTAGGACAGTCCCCCCAAAAGAAGAGTATTTCTAAATCAAATAAGAAAAAAAAGAAAAAAGAAAGAGAATACAGGATTACAACAGAGACCTAAGAACAGTTAATAAACTAGTTAAAAGAAGAAAGATCTGGAACAAAGTTAAATGAAGCTCTCTCAGTCTTAGACCTAATAGGACTTCCGTGGCACATACCCCCAAAGAATCCTTCCTATTTGTCTCTATAAGGAGGAAAGACAAGAACAACACTAGCTAACATAGCTATTGTTTCAAAGGGGTAATGTGGGTAATGTGGTCACTTTCAATCCCCATCACTACTGCTGGTTGGGCAGTTTGAGAGGTGCTGTAGGAAAAGCTGCAGTCATGCTAAATGTAAGGAATGAAGAGAGGCTAAACAAAGACATATCCAGAAGCTAGTGGGTCACTTTGCAGTCCAAAGGAAGCAGACCTGGCGCTTACTTGTTGCAGGGAAAACACACTAAACCAGCAGAGAGGAGCTGTGCCACCAGTGAGCTGGTGAGGCTTAGCTACAACCTGTAGACATCCCAGCCCTAATGATAAGGGAGACAGAAGATGCTCCTCCAGGAACTCACTAGACAGAGTGCAATGACGCAGTACAGAGAACATCAGACTCTAAAGCTCCAGTGAGCATGACAAGGACTGGGGTCTACCTTCAACAGTGGACATGGAGATGATAGCACAGGAAGCAAAGGAGCTCTCTCAAATGCAAAGCTTTTGAAGAGGGTAAATCCCTTTTACCTTTTTAATCTTCTAGCACTATTATTATTATTATCTTTAGCACTATTTGACTTTAATGTGGTGATAATTCTTTGAGTAGCTACAGGTTTGAGATTTTTTTTTTTTTTGCCAGTCTTGGGGCTTGAACTCAGGGTTTAGGCACTGTCCCTAAACCTCTTTGTGCTCAAAGCTAGCACTCTACCTCAAAAGCCAGAGTGCCACTCCCAGCTTTTTCCAAGTACTTGGCTGGAGATAAGTTTCATGGACTTTCCTGCCTTGGCTGGCTTTGAACCACAATCCCCAAATCTCACCGTCCTGAGTAACTAAGATTACAGCTGTGAACCACCAGCGCCTGGCAAGAGATATTTTAATAGAAGCTAGAAGAGTACAGTTACCCCTAAGGATGGGGGCTCAAGAATGAATCCTAGCCTGCTACATCACCCAAAGGCTTTTGTAGGGTGCCAGGAAGGGTCATTGACTTAACAGAATCTATAGCTAGACATATGGGAGGCACTTGGCAAAGGGTACTAGGAAATAAAAGGCACTCAATAGGGGGTCTAGACATTTACAGCAGCTGACTCTGGCTGGGATGGACTACAGAGTAAGGATGAAGAAGGCTGGGCTGAAGCTAGGCAGTGAAGTGCCTACCTAGCATGTGCAGGACCCTGAGTTCATTCTCCAGCACAGCGGGGGGGGGGCAGGTAGGAGGAGGACAAAAGGGCTGGGAATGTGGGTTAGTGGTAGAGTGCTTGCCTAGCATGCATTAAGCCCTAGGTTTGATTCCTCAGTACCACATACACAGAAAAATCCAGAAGAGGTGCTGTGGCTCAAGTGGTAAAGTGCTAGCTTTGAGCAAAAGAAGCTCAGGGACATTGTCCAGGCACTGAGTCCAAACCCCAGAACTGGCAAAAAAAAAAAAAAAAAAAAGCAGGGGGAGGGGACAAAAGTAGAGATGAGAGCAGCTCTAGCCACTTCTTGTAATGCCCACTTTGAAAATAGACTGAGACAAAGGAAAGGGAAACTAACCTTTATTGAAAGCTTACAGATATACACATCTGGCCTTGTGCAAGGAGTTTTCATCCACAATATTCCATCTGATCTTCATACCAACCCTGTGAGGTAGGTATTATCCCCATTTTTTTGTTAGATGAGGAATAGGAGGCTCAAAAAAGTTAGGTAGTTTGTCCAAGGATATAGAAACCAAGGACATAGAAAACAACAACTTAAAAGTGACTAGTCAGGTCTCAGACTTGCTCTCCTGTCTGCCTCCTAGGAGGGAGGGAGCCCCTCAACTTCCTACCCCTGCATCCCAAGACCCAGAAGGAGCCTGAACCATCCTACCTTGGGAGGATGCAGTCAGTTGAGAAGATTCAGGCATAAATATAAAAATAAATAGCAGAGATGAGTCCCCAGCAGGGAGGGTGTGCCATCCATAACCGTACTGTGGGAAGGTCACTGTGCTGTTCACAGCTGCCAGGAGAGGGAGCTGCGTGGGCCCCGTCTGGGGGAAAACTGGGACGATGGCTGCCAAAGGCTGGAGTGGGTGGGCTAAACAGGCCCCTTCTAGGTCACATGGATTCAAAAACGAACAAAACGTCTGGAGCAGGCAGCAGCCGTGGGCACAGTTGCCATCTTCCTCCATCTGCTCGTTTCACCGGTGTTTGTGATCCAAGAGGGATTCAAAATTGGGAGAACATACAAGTTTGTGCTTCACATGTCCCAGGACTGTCATCTCCCCAGTCCTACTCTCTCCAAGGCCTACAGACACCAGCTCCTGCCAATGGACAGAGACAGCAGTGAGAACCACAAACCCATGATCAGCCCTCACTTCTCTGAATGGCGTGATAGCCTATGATGTGTGAGAACACCCCTTATTCCCAAGCACTTGCTTGGCTCAGTAATTTCAGCCTGTCCAGCCTGTCCTGACCCACCCAGCCCTTACCTGCAGAAAGGAGCAGGTGGTTCCCATCGTCACATCCAGGGTCACTTTACCCAGGAGGAGCTGCACCTTCCCTGACTTGCGGATGAGAAGCTTGCCCACTTGACCTTCTGTCAGATCAGCCAAAGTACAGGTGTTCTCTGCCAACTTGGCTTCCTGTGCAGAGAAATGACTGGTGAAAACTGGGCAAGAGGCTTATTCCACCATCTTGCAAAGGATTCTACATCCCAGAGGGGCATTGGTTATAAAACAAAATTCACAGCAAACAAACAAGCGAAACACCTATTAAGTGCTAAAGCTGAATGATGGTACACAGGGATGTATGACCTCCTATTTGTCTATGTGCAAAATCACTCATTATAAAAAGTAGAGATGCACACTAGTAGTGTTAGAAGCATGGGTCTCTCAAAGCCCTCAAAGGTGTTAAGCACATACACCCAACGTTTTTACATTTTGGCTTGGATGGCAAATTTTCATTTCTCTCTACCTAAAGCTTTGTTCCTGGTGCCCCCACCCTGGAATTTTTCCATAACTCCCTTCTAAGCATACCCGGTCTTTCTCCTGCTTTATGACCACCATCTGCCCATCCTCGCCCTGAACCTCTGTCTTGACAGGCTTGATATCCTGAGTGGGCGGCTGGCCAGGGAGAGTATCTGGCAGTTGGAGGAACAGCAGCTCCTCATCCTTGGTGAGACTCAGCTCCCTGAGCAGCTCTGCCACAGATATATCCTTGGGGAGGCCTGGGGTCTTCCTGGCTGCTTTGGGAGGAGCCTTCATCTTGGTCTCCTCTTCCTCATCTCGTGGCTCTTCTTTCACTGCCCAGGGTGAGACAAAAGAAAAGACACTGAGCAGCCACTCTCTCTACCATCTCTTGTTCCCTGGCTCTTTACTCCACACTATTTCAGTATCACCTGCCAGGAAGCTGGAGGGACAGACACTGGTTTTGCAGAGCAGAAGAGACAGCACACTCCATTGTGACTACCCTAAAAAAGGACACATGGACCCACGTCCACAGGTGGGCTCTCTCAGAGTGGGGTTTGAGTAGCAGTGCTGGAGATCATGTAGAGGCTCCCTGGGTTGCCACAGAATAGAGAAGTAACTGACACTGGATACCTTTTACAGCAGGCATATCCGCCTCCATGTCTTCTTCCTTGGGGCCGGCCAGCCAAGGCTTAACATCTGGTTCCTCATTCTCCTCCTTAAAAAGCCACCCCGAGTGTGCCAGTGGCAGCTGTACAGGCATGTTTCGAGTATCATTCCTTAGCCCAGGATCATCGATGAACTGTCAGAGAAGAGGTGGGGGTCACAAACTTTCCTGGCACATGTGCTTGGATCAGTCCATTTTAATTCTTTCCTAGCCAAAGGTCCCTGACTCTTACCAGGGTTCCAGGATATTAGGGAGCTCTTCTTCCCCTGTCAGCTCCCAGAAGCTCTCTTCTGTAGCCACAAGAAAGTCTGCCCTGCCCCCAGCCTCCTGCTACCTACATCATCCTTTTCCAGCATGCGCAGGATCTGCTTGGTTTCTTCATCTGTCTCCCTCTTCTCTTTTTTGATGTTGATGATATGAGAGGGTCCCATGTCTGACACATCCACGGTCTTGTCCCAGTTCCCTATGGGAAATTACCCAGTTCACTATGGAGAAACCGGGAAGAAGGCCAAGAGCAAAGACAACTAAATTGGGAATAGGAGAATTCCATCACTCTTTCCCTTTCCTTGGGCTGTCTGAATTAAAATTCATTGTTGGCGTCTTTCTGGTACCTTTTTTCTTCATCATTTCTGCAGGGCCCTGCTCAAAGATAGAGTGGGACTGGATCACTTCTGGACGGCCCCGGCCCCGTCCATGCCCATCACGCTGGCGGTCTCGATCCCGTTCACGCTTCTCCTTCTTCACAGTAACTTCTTCCTTTGGCCTGGAAAAGAGAATGGATGAAGGAAAACCACACACACCCCTGGGCCTCTGCAAACTGGCCCCTTCATTACTTCTCTTCAACCAACTGAACAGTTTATGGGCTAATAAGTACATCACAAGAAGTGGAATCCAATCCCAAGTCTTGCATTATTTTTTTCGTGCCTCCTTGATTAGGCAGGGGCCTTTTAATTTGCTTTACTCTATTTTCTGGTTCAAAAAAGTGAGCTTTTTTTTTCAATCAGAGAGCTAGAAGACAGAGGAACTTAAGAGCACAATACATGTATAAATGTGTGGCTCTCAAATGACTGTAAAAGAGAATCATTGGAAGTAAAGGAATGGTTCAAGTGAAAGAGAACCACTCTTGAGAGAAAAAGCCATGCGAGAGCATGAGACTCTGAGTTCAATCTCTAATAGTGGCAGAGGGGGAGGGAGGGAGAGGGAAAGGAAAAGGGACAGAAGGGGGGAGGGAGAGGGGGGAAGAGAGGGAGAGAGAGAAAGTGAGAGCAAGCAAGCGAGAGAGAACACCATTCCACCCCACTGTGAATAAATTGCTACAGATAGGATGTTACAGTTTGAGTCTAACTACCCTAAAAGATTCGTGCTTGTTAAAGACTTAAATCTCTTCTAGGATGTGGGGCTTAGTGCGACCCAAGCCCCTTCCTTTTTTACTCCCTCAGGCACTCCCCACCATGATACTTTCTTACCAAAGCCAACTAAATCTCTAAAACTGTAAGCCAAAAAAAAAAAACCCTTATCTCTTATAAGATGATTATTTCAGGTATTATTACAGTAACAAAACTGACTAAACACACAGTGTCTCAGATGTGTGTGTGTGTGTGTGTTAAAGCTGGTACATAATAGAGTTATGGCTGAAAATCATTAGTAAAAAGGACATAAATTCAAGTTTTTGAGATGTACAACCTAGTTTTTTTTTTCTCAAATTCATAACACAAGTAAATAGGGAATAAGAATTCACAACACTTACTCTTCCTTGATCTTGCGACTGATAATATTTGGAGTGAAGGTTTTCTGGAAGTAAAATACAGGAGTCACTGATTGTTAATTTCTAACCTCAAAGTACAGAGGGCTATAAAAACTCACAATGGGCATCTTCTATGGGCCAAGATCAACAGGGTTCTCCTGTCTACATTTCACACATCCAGGGTTTTTTAGGCTCTGTCTGAAAAGGAGGCCCTTTGTGCTCATGGAGACAGTGGAAATTACACCTAGAAGAAGCACCTTAAACTACTTTAACCATCAGCTTTTGCTTCAGTCTTCTGACAGCAGATCTCCACCTTTGCAAAATCAAAGAACAGAAAGTGCTGTACAGAAAGGCTAATTGAACAGGAACAATTCTAGCAGCAACATTTGAACAGGTAAGATAGCACTCAAAAATGGAGGACTCTGGGCTGGGAAGGTGGTTCAGTGGTAGAGCGCTTGCCTTACATGCATGAGGCCCTGGGTTCGATTCCTCAGCACCACATAAACAAAAAGAAAAAAGCCAGAAGTGGCGCTGTGGCTCAAGTGGTAGAGTGTTAGCCTTGAGCTGAAGAGCTGAGGGACAGCGCCCAGGCCCAGAGTTCAGGCCCCACGACCAATAAATAAATAAATGGGAGGACCCAAGCTGTCACCAGCAGTTTCTAAGGCAACTTAGTCTTAAAATAGTGAGGAGCACCTGTCAGCCCAGCTAAGCGGGAAGCCTGAAGATAAGGACTGGGAAAAAAAATGGGACAAGACCCCACTGAAAAGGAAAGAGGGCTAGAGATGTGGCTCAAGTAGTAGAGCACCTGCCTAGTAAATGCCAAGGCCCTGAGTTTAAGCCCCAGTACTGACCCCATCCCACTCACCAAAAACAACAGCAAGAAATCCACCCAGCTGCTTTATGTATCTGTCACCCTACCCTTTAGTCACATACACAGATAAGGCCAGGGTCTCTAAGGCCATGCCTAAGATTCATTATCCATTAGACTAGAAGCTTAGACACTAGTATAGAAGTTTGCACACTGGTATCCACCGAAAATTCAGAACCCTCAAAATTGCAAGCAAAATTTACACCTGGCCTAGCTCATAAGGTGTTCAAAACATACGAAGAAAATTAACACTGCTCATGTGTCGCTTCTGAATGCCTGAGCTATCATCGCTGCCCTTCAATTACAGGCAGGAACCACCTCAACATCTTGGACCCGGACTAGAAGGTGTACTGGACTAGAGTCCCTAGAATTGGAAGCAATCCGGGAACGAGCCTCTGGAGACCCAGCGTCCCGCTGAGCACACCGTGGGCCCTGTGGCATCATGAACTCCAGAGGCCTGAAACTCAAGGTGGCTGGGTTTCTCCGGAAACGCGCTGTCAGGTACCTTCTTGACTCCGCCGAGCGTGAGGTCCCTGGAGCGGATGGAGGGCAGGCGGCCCGGGGTGAGCGGGGGCGCGGGTCGCCGCCCGACAAGTCCCCGAACCCCAGGGAGAAGGGGCCGTGGCCCTCCAGGAGTGCTGGGCTCGCCCGCGGAGTTTCCTTCCGACATGTCGCCTGGGAGAAAAAAAGAGCAAGCTCGGGACTGCAAAGGGATCCTAGGGGGCAGAGGCGCGGGACCCGGCGGAACCCCACCACGTGGCCCTCGTCCCCGCCCACGTGATCCCCGCCCCGCCCACGCGACCTCCGACCCCACCCCGTCGGCGCGGCGGGCTGGCCGCGTCTCAGCGCCACCCCGTCACACGTGGCGACGCTTCCCGGAGTACCCAGGTTAGAGCCTCTGGCTCGTGCTTTACCCGCTCCCGAACTTCCCATGCCCAGCGAGTCAGAAACGCACTTGGGCTGTGGCTCCACACCACGCTCCGCGATTTCACCTCCGAAGCTATCCGCCACCGGCCCTCGGTCTCCGTGCAGGGCGGAAGTCTGCGTGGCAAGGCTCGGGCGCCACCATCTTGCCTCGGGGCGGAAGTGACGCCCTGGGGGCGTGGCCTGGCCATGGTATTTATTAGACCGCGCCTCGCTGCCCTCCGCCTTCTCTTCCCGGTTCTTCCCGGAGTCGGGAAAAGCTGGGTTGAGAGGGCGAAAAAGGATGAGGGGGTGGTTTGGGCTGCACGGGGGTGTGGCTCTCACGGGGTCTTCGCCCGGGACTTGGAAGCGGAGGCTCCGAACTCGGGACTGAGAGACGTGGGACTTGCCATGCTGCAGTGTGGGGAGGCTGTAGCCTGATCTGGGAGCAGTTGGGGTCACGGCTCAGGACAGGGAGAGCTTCCACCGAGGTGCCGGGTTCTTCCTGGATGCAGCCTCTCCACGGTGACCCTGGAGTGGTCACAGTACCTGGGGCAGCAGCCTGGCCTCTGCTTGGGGGTGGGGCTGTGAGACCACCCCTGAATCAGCTATAGCAAAACCATCCAGCACCCTTCACCACACCCACCCTGAGCTCAGGACGATGTAGTCCCACTGTGCGCACTTAGTCATAACCTAGAAGGACAGATGAAGTTTGTCCAATTGCTAGGAAGCAGAAAGGTCAGCTGGGCACCGTTGGGTTTTGCCTGTTATCCTAACTACGCAGGAAGCTGAGATCTGAGGATCGCTGTTCTAAACCAGCTCAGGCAGGAAAGTCCATGAGATTCTTTACCTCCAATCAACAACGTATCATAAAGGAGCTGTGGCTCAAGTGGTAGGGTGCCAGCTTTGAGCTGAAGAGATAAAGAACAATGCCCCAGCCCTGAGTTCAAGCCCTACCAGCCCACACCTCACACACACACACACTCCAACAAAAATAATGTTTATTGTAATTTCAAATCAAGTTCAAACTTCAGTACAAAAGAAGAAGAAGGGGCTGGGAAGGTGGTAGAGTGTTTGCCTCGCATGCATGAGGCCCTGGGTTCGATTCCTCAGCACCACATGAGCAGAAAAAGCATGAAGTGGGCGCTGTGGCTCACAGCACTAGCCTTGAGCTGAAGAGCTGAGGGACAGCGTCCAGACCCGGAGTTCAAGCTCCATGACCGACAAAAAAAAAAAGGAGGAAGAAGAAGAAAAGCAGAGATCCTAAGTTCTGTTTACTTCATCACCCCAATCTTGCAAACTATACTACAGTATCACAACCAGATTATTGACATTTTTACAGTAAAGATACAAGACATTTTCATCCCCATAGGATCTCTCTAGTTGCCCTTTTAGATATACACCTCCCTCTACCCATTCCTCCCACCTCTAATCTGTTCTTCATTTCTGTAGTTTTGTTATTTCAAAAATGTTCTATAAATGAAATCATACAGTATGTGACTTCTTGTTTTCTGGGGTTCTTTGGGGGGGGTTGTTTTTGGTACTGGGACTTAAACTCAGGGCCTGGGCACTGTCTCTGAGCTTTTTTGCTCAAGTCTGGTGCTCTACCACTTGAGCCACACCTGTACTTATGGCTTTTTTTGCCTGTTAATTGGAGATAAGCGTTTCATGGACTTTCTTGCATGGGCTGCCTTCAAGCAGAAATACTTAGATCTTAGCAATACTTAGAAATACTTAGCTACCTCCTGGGTAGCTAGGAATACAACTATGAGACACAAGCAACCAGATTCTTGGAGTTTTCTTGTTTTGCCATGATTTGCTTTGAAATTATGAAAGGTTGGAGCTAAGGGGCTTATGCTTGGCTAGGCAAGTACACCAGCTATAACCAGCCTTTATTTGCTCTTGTTATTGTTGAAATAGTGTCTCACTTTTTGCCCCAGCAGCCCAGGACCAGGAGCCTCCTATTTATGCTTTCTGTGGTGGCTGGGATGACAGGTATGTGCCACCACATCTAGCTTTTTGTTGTTGTTGAAATGAAGTCTGATGAACTCTTTACCTGAGCAGATTTCCAATGGATATCTTCCCAACCTTAGACTCCAGAGTAGTTGGGATTATAGGTGTGAGCCACTTCTCCCAGACTTGGGATTGCTTTTGTAACAGTATAATTCCATGAAGATTAGCTAAATTGTACATATTAGCAGTTTGTTCCTTTTATTGAATATCTGTGGCTTACCCATTTATTCTTTGAAAGAAGGACATTTGAGTTATTTGTAATTGTTTGCTAATGTGAGTAAATTTGCAGACATATGCAGGTTTTTTGGGGGGAGGGGAGGTGGTAAGCATTAAGGTTTTACTTTTCTAGAATATTTGTCCATGTGTACAGTTGTTGAGTCATTTGGTTGATGTCTTATTATTTCCATCAGAAATCAACAAATTGTTTTCCGCATCACCTTGAGCAAGCATATTTTATGGTTCTTCATCCGGATTGCTAAATCGCCTTCAAAAAGCATTATACCAAGCCTGGTGTAGTGGCTCAAGCCTATATAGTGCTCAGGTGGTAAATGCATTTTTAAACTTTTGCCAATAATATATTAGTTGATTTCTTTTTTTTCTTTTTTTTTATTAGTTGATTTCTAATCAGACCTTTTAAGACTTTTTTCCTCCGCATTGCTTTTAACATCAAACAGAATCAAACTCGAAGCCCTTAGCTTCTGCTTTGAACACTACATGAAGTCCATTGATTATGTTTTCTGAGCTTTGTGTTGTTGTTTCTTTTCAGGTTTTGTTTCCATACGAAGACACTAATCACAGAAAATTTGGAAAAAATTTAAAAGCATGGATTTAGAAAATTAAGCCATCCTTTAGTATCACATCCATTGTTTTAAATATTTGAAGTTGTTCTTTGCATTTAGGTTTCTTAAAACTATAATATTTTATATATAGTGATACTATTTTTCTTTAATACTCTTTTATAAAAACAACAAAAAGGATATACAATTATTACTTCTTTTGGGGAGGGGTTTGAACTCTGAGCTCTTCAGCTCAAGGTGAGCACTCACCTCTTGAGCCACAGCTCCACTTCTGGTTTTCTGGATAAGAGTCTCATGGACTGTCTTGCCCAGGCTGGCTTTGAACCATGGTCCTCATATCTCAACCTCCTGAGTAGCTAGGATTACAGGTGTTGAGCCAAGCATGCATCTACTTTGTATTTTTTGCTGATTAATGGGAGGTAAGAGTCTCATGGGCTTATCTGCCCGGGCTGGCTTCAAACTTCAATACTCAGATCTCAGCCTTCTGAGCAGCTAGGATTACAAGCATGAGCCACCAGTAGCTATTTATTTATTTATTCATTCATTTTTGAGATAAGGTCTCATTATGTAGGCCAGGCAGGCCTAGAATTCTCACTGTTCTTGCCTCTGTTGGCCTCCTGAGTATTGGAATTACAGGAAGACATCCGTATTCAGCACATACTCAGAATTTATTATGTGTCTAAGGCATGGAAGTGGCCAGTGAGTAACATACCCAAGGCTTTGGGTTGGATCTACAACATTAAAAAAAAAATTCTAGCTGGGCTCTGGTGTCTCAAGCCTATAATCCTATCTACTAAGGAGTCTGAGATCTGAGGATCATAATTGGAAGCCAGCCAGCAACAGGAAAGACCATGAGATTCTAATCTACAAGTAACCACCAAAAAGCCAGAAATGGAGCTGTGGCTCAAGTGGTAGAGCACTAGCCTTGGGTAAAAAAAGCTCAGGGACAGTTCCCAGGTCCTGAGTTCAAGCCCCAGAACACCCTTACCCTCTCTCTCTCTCTCTCTCTCTCTCTCTCTCTCTCTCTCTCACACACACACACACACACACACACACACACAAACACACACACACACATCTAAGGCATGGGAGTATGAGACACCTGCATTTTTCTGAATTATTAAGTATACTTCTTAATATTTTTAGCTACATAGTATTATAATTTTTAATATTTTTTTCAGGAATGTTCTCTAGCATACTGTATGATTCCATTTCTAGAAATAACACATTTACAGAATATTTTCAAACATGCCTCCAGCCTATTTTTGTTTTTGCATTGATTATTTTGTGAGAGAGGGTTTTGCCTGATGCTTCGGTTGACCTGGACTGTGATTCTCCTACTCGTACTTCCCAGATGCTAGGATGACAGGTTGTCCTGCCATTGATGGACATATATTGAGCACCCCCTCTCCAGGCTGGCCTCAGCTTCAATTCCCTGATCTTTCACCTCCCACGTAGCTAGGATTCCAGGCTTGAGGCACTGTCCTGGGCTGGTTTCTGTGAATTCTTTTTGGACATTGGAAATATTAAATGAATGAATTGTAAATATGCATAGCACTAAAGTACAGGAATGTGTGGTATGAGAACCAGGTTCAAGCTATTACATGTTTTCTGTAATTCATAATTTATTTACTTCATTTTGTGGGCCATTCATTTCCTCATTGCTTTGACCTCTAAACAGTGCAGTGCGCTAAGACACGGTCCTTAGAATTCTATTTTTTTTTTCTTCTCTGCACTTATTCCACTGTCTTTGTTTGCTTTGTCTGTATCAAAGGAGGAAAATGTTTGATGCTGAATTCCCCAATACATGTCTTCAGCCTGGAGGTCTCTGAACTCCTAGAGATGTAGCTCCTTCTGCCTATCTGCAATGCCATTTGGATAAGTTTACCAGACTTCAACACGGGTCCACACCTGATGCCTTCATCTTCCTCTCACCTGCTTCTGCAAAGTGATTTCCCATCTCACTAAATAACAACTGCCTTCTCTAGTTGTTAAGGTCAACAAATCTTGCAAGTCTTCTCCATCTCTTCTTTCTCTCATGCTCTACATTTTCCATATCATGTTTTCTTACCATATATATTTTTTTCTGATGCTGGCATTTGAGGTCACACTTCCTGGACTTACTTTCTCAGCTGGTGCCACTTGAGCCATACCTCCCAGACTTGTTTTTCTTTTTGTTAATTTGGAGATAGATACTCCCTGACCTTTTTCCCAGGTTGTCTTTGAACCTCTATCCTCCAGATCTCAGCCTCCTGAGTAGCTAAGATTATATGTGTGAGCCACTGGTGACTAGCTGAATCTTACCACTTTATATTACATCCACTGTAAACCTTCCTAGTC